GGATAGGCAGGGGTTCTTAGAGGAGACTCAAAAATCACTTGAACATGTAAAACAAAATATGTTAATGAACTATCTACATTAAAATTAAAAACTGCTGTTCATCAAAAGACACCATTAAGAGAATAAAAAGGCAATGTACAAAGTAGGAAAAAACCTGTAATGCATTTATCTGACAAAAACTTGTGTCCAGATATAAAGGATTTGTGCCCGTACTATATAAAAATCCCTAGAACTTGGTGATAAAAAGACAAACAGTCCAATTTTTAAAATGTGGCAAAAGACATGAACACTTACAAATGGCTGTTAAGCATATGAAAATATGCTCGTATCTCTAGTCATCTGAGAAATACATCTTGAAGCTATAGTGAGATAACATTATACTCCCTCCAGAATAGCTAAATTTGAACAAGACTGACAATGCTGGTAGGATGTGGAGAAACTGGAACTCTCATTCATTGTTGGGAGGAGCGTAAAATGGTACAACCATTTTCAAAAACTGTTTGGCTGTTCCTTATAAAACTAAACCTACACTTTAACCCCACAGCTGCATTCATAAGGATTTACAAAAGAGAAACAGACACATGTCCCGAAAGATTTGTACACAAATGTTTATGTCAACTTTGTTCATAAGAGCCTGAAACTGGAAGCCACCCAAATGTTCACTAAAGAGTTTCGTTTAGACAAATTATGAACTATTCATAGATGGAAACCATTCAGATAATGAACTATGGATATCCTTAGTTTAACACAGATACCTCTTTTGCATGGAAGAAGGCAGACCCTGAAGAGCATATACTGTTTCCTGCTTGTGTAACTTCAAGAACAAGCCAAACTAGTGGGTGGTAATACAAAAAGAAGTGTGAGGCTGGGGGCGATAGTGGCTCATGCCTGTAATCCCAGCACTTTGAGAGGCTGAGGCAGGAGGATTGCTTGATACTAGGAGTTTAAGACCATCCTGGGCAACACAGTGAGACCTTTGTCTCCAGAAAAAAAAAATTAGCTGTCTGTGATGGCAGACCTGTCATCCCAGCTACTCGAGAGACTGAGGCAGGAGGATCCCTTGAGCCCAGGAGTTTGAGGCTACAGTGAGCTACGATCACACCACTGCATTCCAGCCTGAGCTATGAAGTAAGACTCCATCTCTAAGAAACAAAGAAAGAAAAGAGAACAGTGGTTGCCTGTGAAGGTGGGTACTAACTGCAGAGGGGCATGGGGATGCCTGCTGGGGGAAGGGAATGCCCTGTGCTCTTGATTGATGTGATGGTTACACAGGTAAATAATTGAACTTAACTCATGTGCTTAAGCTCTCTGCATTTCACTGGCTGTAAATTTTACCTTAATAATAACTGATAATAAAAAGCTCATAGTGGCTGATGTTTGGGGCAGGGTGGACACAGGAGGCCAGTCAAGAGGCTGTTACTATAGTCCAGGGCACAAGAGTGTGTTGAGATGTAAAAAGTGGCCAGACTTGGCTAGGTGCAGTGGTTCACGCCTGTAATCCCAGCACTTTGGGAGGTGGAGGTGGGCAGATCATGAGGTCAGGAATTCGACACCAGACTGGCCAGCATGGTGAAACACCATCTCTACTAAAAATACAAACAAATTAGCCAGGCGTGGTGGCATGTGCCTGTAATCCCAGCTACTTGGGAAGCTGAGGTAGGAGAATCGCTTGACCCTGGGAGGCTGAGGTTGCAGTGAGCCAAGATCGCGCCACTGCACTCCATCCTGGGTGACAGAATGAGACTCCATCTCAAAAAAATAAATACAAAAATAAAAATAAAAAAATAAAAAAAAAGAAGTGGCCAGACATGGGGTCTTTTGGAGGGAAGGCCAGGGCTGGTTAGCCCAGGAGGTGAGAGTCGTGCTTAGAGCTGGCAAAGGAGGCCGTGTGGGCTAACATCAGAGGAAAGACAGCTCAGATGTAAAAATATAAAAACATACATTTTTTCAGAGTTTATAGCAGATTATTACATCACAATGATCTGTTACATCAAGTGCTCTACAAAGAAAGGGGAGTATTTTAAGAAAAACTCTCTTCCTCTGAGGCTGAATTTATTAAGTATGCATGTGAATAGCATGGGCTGTAATTTAGGATAAACTATAAGCTTGGTATAGTATTCATACATTTATGGAATTATTATTTAAAATCACTAAAAACTTACATGCTACTATGGAGATTGCATTTGGTTTGAATATATTAAGTATAAATGAAGGCAGCTATTGATACAGTAGAATTGCTGCAAAGATGAATGTAGAAAAGCACATAATTGTTGATTGATCATTATCATCATAGACCATTCAGTTAGTATAACTATTGATTGATCATTATCATCATAGACCATTCAGTTAGTGCTGCCATTTCAATGAGAGATGAAACTTGTCAATATTAGACATTCTTTAATTAAGAACAATTAATCAGGAATAAAATAAGAGTTGAAGAAAATAGGGAATTTATGTGTGAAGAAGATGTTAAAATGTATACCAGTAAGGCAGTCATTCTTATTAAGCCTGTTCTCAGTTCTGGAACTTTGGTTTGGCATCTGGAGATGGATGAGTACAAATATATGCTTAAATCAACGTCAGAGAATTAATGGCAAACTCCTATTGTCATTTCCCATCAGATCTAATAGCAAAGATCACTATCTCCTGCAGAGACAAGAGAAGGGAAGTAATTGTCAAGACAATTTATAACACTCTAGGATGGCTAAATTTCGAGTTGATTCTTCAGTGAATGTCCTTGCAATTTATTTCAAAGTGGTGAGTAAAAGTGACTGCAGTTGGACACTATTAAGGGCAAAGTCATACTCCTGCATTGACAGTGTACGTGAAGAGAATGAAATACGAAGAAAGCTATGAATAGTTGGAAATTCGGGAGGCTGTGCTTACTCCTGATGATTTCAGTTTGGCTAAAACAGAGCTGGTGACGAGGAAGGGTTTGTTGTGATGATTCCAGAGAGGGTGACTCTCAGGAAGATGAACTGGGGGCCCAAGACAGGTTGATGTCAGGTGCTTTCTGGGAACAAGGCTGGTGGTGAAAAATAGGGGTGGACCGATGAGGAAGGCTGGGTCACTTAGAGTCCCGAGACTTCCTCCGGCTTAATAATGAGGAGCAGGGAGGGCTGGTGGCAAGACATCCAGATGAGAAACCTGAAGCTTCGGATTCTGATACAGGATACTGCTCTCCGCTTACCAGGTGACTCTCGTGGAACAAGTCATTTGACCTCCCTGAGCCTGGGATTTCCTATCTGTTTCATGGGGTCAGTCTTTCCGGTCTTGTTAGCCTCCTGTGTAGGAATGTTGTGAGGATCTTTGCAGCAAAGGACACTTGGGCCCTCTAAAAAAGTCTGCAAGTATCTGCTTTAGTTGTCTTTTATTATTTGTTGGTAACAACTTCAGCAGTATAAACTGAAGCTGGAGTCACGCAGTGGTTTATGTACTCAAGCCTGGAGATATTTTAGGAAATAATCAATACAAGATGTATTGGGTTGGAGCCATGATAAGAGTAATAAATCTTGACAGCCTGCTGTTGGAGCAAATTAATAATGATTGAGAGAAACGTAAAAATCTATGCGAGGGGAAAATCTAGAGTGTGTTTGGGGTGAGAACTTTAGCCAATGTGGAAACTGAGAGTCATTCAACGAAAGTTAGTTATCATCCTACTACTGGTAGAGCAGTGTATACACACACACTCACATTCGCATACACACATACACAGCCTGCTGTTGAATCAAATAATGCTTGAGAGAAACATTGCAAAAACCTATGAGAGGGAAAAGTCTAGAGTGTGTTTGGGGTGAGAGCTTTAGCCAATGTGGAAACCGAGAGTCATTCAAGGAAGGTTAGTTATCATCCTGCTGCTGGTAGAGCAGTATATACACACACATACTCGCACACACACACATGTGCATACAGATGCACACACACATATAGATACATGCATACATGGACACATGTGCACACAGACACACACACACGTACATACACATACACACATGGGTAACAAGCACCTTTTTTTGGTTGGATCTCAGAAGAGACTGGCAAGCAAGGACAACTAGCACTGATTTCAACAACGGACAGCTGCACTTTGTCCACTCAAGGGCCCACCACCTTCTAAGGAAATGCTGGCTGCCTCTGAATTTTTAAAATGAAACCTGTACAGTGTTTCTGACATGCCTCATTTATCACTGGTGGAGAAGAGTGTGTTCGTATAGCCTTGGGATTTGTTGCTGTTGTGTACAGTGAGTGAGGAGAGGGGATTGGGACCCCATGATTTTTAAATCATCAAAGCCCTGAGATGGTCTATAGTTACAAAGTAGACATACTGCTTTTCCTGTGTCCAGAATGCTCCCACACTTCCCAATCCTCCACTCTCACATCAAGATTGTCACTGAAGCTGGGTGCCGTGGCACATGCCTGTAGTCCCAGTTTCTTGGAGGGCTGAGTCACGATGATCGTTTGAGCACAGAAGTTCATGTACAGCCTGGGCAACATAGCGAGACCCTGTCTCTACAAAACAAACAAAACAACAAAAGATTGTCAACAGAGCTCTACCCAGACATTCTCTGTTGGTTGGGGCATCGATGCAGAGAGACTGCAGGCTGTGGCACACATTGGAGGAGCTGGGCAGAACCGTGGGGGTGCCGGCCTGTAAGGGGAACACCAGGAGCTGGGAAGGACAAACCTGGAGAAGGCAAAGCAAGGCACGAGGCAAGCCGGTTGCAGGGTCGCAGGCTGGCCTCCATGTGGATGCAGTTGACTATTGTATAAGAAGAGTCTTTAACACTAAGAGACCAGAAAGCCACATTAAAAAAAAAAAAAAAAAGATGAAAATGTTTACTTTAGTAGAATGATGGAGTTGTTTCTTAATTTAAAAATTGCTTTTATTGTGTTTATTTTTTATTATAAAAGTAACATGCATTTGTTATAAAAACTGTGAATTTTACAAGTCAGAAAACCATAAGGAAACCTTGATACTGAGTCTGTCACGTTTTCAGGCAGAGAAAAACAAAGAATTTTGTTAGCCGAAGCCTCGTCCTAGGAGAAGTCGTCTCCATGGCGGACATGGCCACAGGAGTGAAGGTGAGAGGCGCCGGGCACCTGCCCTTCATGAACTCATGCTCGCTTTGCATGCCAAGGAATGAAAACTATAATCCTGTGGGCTCTCTTAGTCTATGTAGAGGCACAGGTGTGGGTAAAATGGCATACCTCAAAACCCATCCCTGACTTCCCCTTTAACCATCATATCCTATCCTGTTTTTGTTTCTAATTTGCTTTTCTTCTCTGTATAGTTTTGTTACATATGCATCAATTGGTTATTTTCCTTTGTCTGAATTTTATGAAAACAGTATCATAATCCTTTGTGATTTTCTTTCTTCATTTAAATATTATTGCTAAGATTGATTCATATTGTGTGTTCCTGTATTCATTAGATTTTAAAATAAAAACCTTTTTATTTCAAAATAATAATGTTCACAGAAAGTTACAAAAATAGTGCATAGGGTCATGAGAACCCTTTAGTCATGGTGACATCTTATATAGCAGTAATGCAATGTAAAATCAGGAAATCAATATTAGTACAGCACTGTTAAATAGGACATAGACCCTATTCAGATTTCACTGGTTTTTACATGCACTCAATTGTGTTCGTGTGTGTGTGTGTGTGTGTGTGTGTGTAGTTCAGTTCGATGCTGTATGTAGATTCATGTAACCACCACCACAATCAAGATGGAGAACTATTCCATCATCAGAAAGAAACTTCCAGGTGCTACCCCTTTATAGTTCATTTGGCCTCCACTCCACCCCTGTCCTTTGGCAACCACTAATCTGTTCTCCATCTCTATAGTTTTGCCATTTGGGGAATGACATAGCAATGGAAGATTGTTCATTTTTGACCACTGTATAATATTCCTTTGTGTGAATATACCGCAGCATTTATTCAGCCACTTTCTCATGTTGTTTCTGGGATTTTGCTAATGTAAAAAGTGCTGCTGTGAATACTGTTGTCCACGTCTGGGTGTTGAACATGGGTAAAATCTTCACTTAGGTATTCAACTAGGAATGGAATTGCTAGTTACAGGATGAATGAATGCTTAACTTTAAAGAGTAGTGTTAATCTATTCTCCAAAGTTAGTGCATCAATTCACATTCCCACCAACAGCATGTAAGCGGATCCTGTGGATCCATGTCCTCTCCCATACTTGGAATTCTTAGATTTCTCCATTTTTTTTTTTGTAAATGGTTATAAAATGGCATCTTATTGTCTTGAGGGAAGACAATTATCTTGCATGTTCCAGCTTACCAAGGAAGACGAACAGAATAGCTCGGGTGGGCGTGTTTGCTGCAGCCCCTCATGCTGCCCAAGCCTTCCAGCAGAGTCTCCTTCATGGGGCCCTCCTTTTCCTCCCTGAACACTACTGGGTCTCAAAATAATTCCTCATATCCAAACACCCAGTCCTGATGTCCCCAAAGAGGAGAAATTACCACTAGAACATGAAGACAGAATGATCAGACAAGAAGCCAGGTCAGTTGGCAGTGAGTCCAATATGGTGGTGATTTCAGTTTGGTGTGAACATTGTCTATTGGTAGGTAGGAATTAAAGACAAAGAAATCTGTGAGTGCCGTCTTGTCGTGAGGGTGTCCACCATCAGGTTTTTCCAGGAAGACGGGGCTCACTCTGATTTCAGCCAGGCACGATCTCCTCCCTCTTGGATGGATTGACTGTGGCTTTCAGAGAGAGCAGTTAGCTGAGATGCAACAGATAAATAGATAAATCCCCTCTCAGAAATACCGGAGGATCCTGGACTCTCATGATCCCCAGTTTGTGCTTTTACCATATTGCACCCCCACCCTACTCTGCCATCTACTTTGTCTTCAGCAAGCCTCCATGGATTGTGACCATGAGGACAGCTCCGCAGGTGGTGGCAGCTCTCTGGGTGGGGAGCCCTCTCCTCTGGTCTCCAGGGTCTTACACTGAGCCTAGTCCATAGAGTTTCACAGGGATCATCTAAATGAATGAGGGAAGGGGCAGCCTGTGGCGTAAAGCAGACTTAAGAAGCATTTTAACCAATTGCAATGTGCGTGTGTCTTATTGACATCCTGGTTCAAACAACAAACTATTTGTAATGAAAAATTATTTGTCAGTTGGGGAAACCTGAGCATTGGACATTTGACGATATTAGAGAATGATCATTATATTTTTAGGTGGGATAATGGTTTTAGGGCTATGTTTTAAAAAAGAATCTGAATCTTTTACACATGTATTGGAAATATTCAGGGAAGACATGATATATGATGTCAGGGATAAACATCAAGATAACCTGGGGTATAGGAAGGGAAAGTATGTGGGGGTGGCGGAGGGAGGGAGATGAAGGAAAATGGACCATGAGCTGGCCATCCTTGAGTTCATTAGATGCTTCTATTTTGTTTGAATATTTCCATAATAAAATTTTTGAAAACTCCTGAGTATCCTAGAAGGAAACTGGCAAGGACTTAAAAAGTCCTTTGAAATACTTCTCTGAGGCCAGGTGTGGTGGCTCACACCTGTAATCCCAGCACTTTGGGAGGCTGAGGCGGGTGGATCACGAGGTCAGGAGATCGAGACCATCCTGGCTAACATGGTGAAACCTCAACTCCACTAAAAATACAAAAAATTAGCCAGGCGTGGTGGTGGGCGCCTGTACTCCCAGCTATTTGGGAGGCTGAGGCAGGAGAATGACATGGACCCGCAGAGCTTGCAGTGAGCCGAGATTGCACCACTGCACTCCAGCCTGGGTGACAGAGCCAGACTCCGTCTCAAAAAAATAAGAAATACTTCTCTGATCACTCCACCCTCTGCTTAAAACCTCTTCCCTCCCATTATGCTTTAGAAACATCCTCTAATCCTTGATGTTGCCCATGGGTCCTTGCAGGTGTGGCCCTGGTCACGTCTGTTCCACTCTCCCCTTTTTCTGGTTCCTTTTACCCACCTTTGGACCATTTGCTGCCAGCCCTAGCTTGGTCTTTCCCCTCCTTCTCCTGGCTGACACCTATTCATTCTTCATGTCCCAGCTAATGTGTCCTTCCTGGAGGGATGCCCCTCTCAAGCCTTGAACTTGAGTCCCATCCACTCGCTGTCACCTGTCTTTGCTTCTTATAATTTTCTGCCATAACGTGCACCCATTTTGAATCTGTGTATTTACTCATGGAATTACTTTATGGCTCTCACTACCAAGAGAGGGAAAACTCCTTGAAAACTATAACCTTTTCATTCTTGGTACATAATAGGTGTCAATACTTGAGTATTAAGTAAATATATAAAGTCAAAACGATATGGTTTTTTCTCAAAAAGTAGGACATAAAAATTACCATACAGCCCAGCATTCCACTAACTGGATATATACCCCAAATAATCGAAAGTAGGGACTGAAACAGTACTTGTGTGCCAATGTTCATTGCACATGATTCACAATAGCTAAAAGCTGGAACATGCCAATGTTCATTGCACATGATTCACAATAGCTAAAAGCTGGAACATGCCAATGTTCATTGCACATGATTCACAATAGCTAAAACTGGAAACAAGCCACATTTCCATCAGCAGCGGAGTGGGTAAACAAAATGTGGTATAGACACACAATGGAATATTGTTCAGCCGAAAAAAAGAATGAAGTTCCCCCACATGCCACAATGTGGATGAACCTTGAAATTATTAAGTGAAATAAGTCAGACATAAAAGGACAAATATTATGTGAGTCTGCTTATATAAAATGTCTAGAATAGACAAATCCGTAAAGACAGAAGGTAGGTTAGAGGTAACGAGAGGTTGGAGGGAGGGGAGAATGGGAGTTATTGCTTAATGTACAGAGTTTTTGTTTGGGATGATGAAAAAGTTTTGGAAATAGTGGTGATGGTTGTACAACGTTGTGACTGTACTTCATGCCACTGAATTGTATGCTTGAAAGTGGCTAAAATGGCAAACTTTATGCTATATATATTTTACCACAAATAAAAATGACAATTAAAAATTATTATTAAGTATGCTGTCCCACACATCAGTAATTGTGGGAGATTTTTTTTCCCTGGAGCTTGGAAATCCGAGACAATTAGAGGAACCTATAGATTGCGCAGCCCCCAAGTCCTGACCAGGAGGACCATGGCTCTTTTCTATTGGTGGTAGAGGAGATGCCAGGAGGGCATGTGGTGTGCTGGGAACAGTTCCTGTGAGCTCTGGATCAGTCCGGGGTTCCCCAGATCCCCCTGCCAGCTCAAGAGCCACTGGTGGTCCCTGCGTTTCACAGGCGCTGGTTGTCAACCTGAGGAAGGGGCGCCAGCATCAATTCATCAGCATCAGCTGTGCCCTGCATGTTCAAGTCCCTTGTCTCTCTCTCTCCAGGTCTGTTTATCCAGTGGCTTTGCATTTCCCTGAACACCTTGGACAAACTCATTTGTACTCGCACAGCCAAGTACTGGCAGGACTGTGGGCTGGCTCTGAGAGTGGCTCACAGCGAAAGGGGTGGGCACACTAACAAAATGCCAGGGAAAAAGATTGTCTTTGTTGGTGCTTTGAATCCCCACTCTAGCTTGTGAGCCAGCCCAAGTTTCCTGCCAAAAACATGGGTGCAATCTGGAAGGATTCTAACTAAAGCTGAAAGAAATGAGACATGCTTCCTTTTCTGCTTCTCCATGGCTGTTCTGTTTTCCCTTATTTGAACCATCCTATTATCTGTCATAGCCTGCTTGGACTGCTATAACAAAATACCATGGGCTGGATGAGTTCAACAGCAGAAATTTATTTTCCCACCTTTCTGGAGGCTGTAAAGTCTAAGATCATGGTGCCAGCATGGTCAGGTTCTGGTGAGGGCTCCTTTCCTGGCTTGCAGACAGCCACCTTCTCATTGTGTCCTCATTGGTGGAGAGAGGTGCTGCTCTTTTTTCCTCTTCTGTAAGGGCACCAATCCCATTATGGGAGTCCTACCCTCATGAGCTCATCTAACCTTGATCATTCATTGCCCAAAGTTTCCATCTCCCAATACCATCACATAGAGGGTAGGGCTTCAACATGTTAATTTTGCAAGGACAAAATTCAGTCCATTTCTGGAGTCCCCATTGTCTCAAAAAACACTTCCAGTTTTCCATTTGTGGAAATTTGCTCTTGGCATTAGGAGATCCTGAATACACTCGAAGTCTCTTTAGGAGACCCTTGTTGGGCTGTAGTATAGGAACAGCTTGGCCTATTGCAGCCGGGAAGCCAGCAGGCTTCCTGCCCACGGGACAGACCTCACTGGTCCATTGGGGCAGGGGCACACTCAGAACAACACAGTTGCACATTCTGCTTCTAGGACTTCCCAGCCACACTTTTGGCATGTTCCTTTGTACGTATGTACCTTAGCTTTCTCTTCTGTAAAGATGGCATTGCTAATGCCCATTCACAGGCTATGTATAGATTTAAATCGGTAATGCCTGCAAGGATCTCCATGCCAAGCCTGGTAGGTAGCAGGAGCCTCCATAAGTGGTGGAGACTGTAACCTCCTGGGACATGGCTGGGGGCCCAACTCCACGGTCTTCCAGGTATTGGCTTCATTGGTGGGTTGAGGTGATACCAGCCTGCCTTCTCAGCTGTAACACACCAGATTTCCCTTCCACTTCAGGATGTCTCCTTTTAGTCTTTATTTAGAAGCTAGGAAGCCCTGCCATAGCCCCATCCTTTAGCCCCTGTGACCTGTCCTGGCTGCACCTCCCACTCCTCAGCTGTCTCACACTGTGGCCTCTGGAGGCTGCTGCTGGCCCTCATTGGGCATGTTGTGATCATTACCTCATGTGCTCGATGTCATAGCTGTCCCTTTTCTTCTCCTGATAAGTGAGAAAAGAGAGAGGAGGCTTTCTCAAACAAGGTGGGTGCATGTTTGAAGTTCGAGTTTTCATTGGGTGTCCCCCAGCCAACTCTACTTTTTCCCTCTTACCACTGCTTTTTGCAGTCTGTCTCAGAGCAAATGGTCCTCTCTGTGTCCTGTTCCCTGAGGTCTGCCAGGGGCAGGACACTGGGGAGTCTGACAGGAGTGCCACAGCGTCCTCTCGGAGGACACTCTGCGACACTCCCAAGTGATGGGTTGATGCCTACCTCCCATCAGCCTCAGCATTTCTGTTTTAAGGAGTCCATACCCTCCTTCTGGCTCCTCTCAGCCCCTCCTCCAAGCTGCTGTACTGCAATCAATGGGTCTCCATCCTCCTGGAAACTCAGGCCACAGACTCAGGTGTCTCCCGGAGTCCTCTCTTTCCTTCTCCTCCCAAATCCATCCCATCAACTCCATCTCCAGAATCTACCCTGAATCCCTCTACTTTCCCCCTTCCCTGTCTGCCTCCTTCCTGGCCTGTGGGCTGGGGCCCATGTCCCTCCCAGAAGGCAGCTGCTGAAAGCATGTCAGGCCAGGGAGCCCTCCACTTCCAATCCCCAGGAGCTCCACCTGCATTTGGCCCAGCTTGGTTGGATTAGCTGCCATTCAGAGAATGTGACTTTTGTGGGAAATGAACCCCACACTTCACCTGACTGTGTGGATTGAGGTCACGCAGACTCTGCCTCTGTCAACTGCTGCCGTTTCCTGCAAACTTACAGGTTCACTTCTACAGCCCAGGGTGCCTGCTAAGACATTTAGTGAATAGGGCTTTCAAAATGTGAATAAAATGCTCTAGGTTTTTTTCCCCTCTTCCTAAAGAGGAGGAAAGGATTTAAAACCTAGAAGAGGAATATATTGTCAAGAGTGCGTTAGGCACCAGCCAAAGAGATTTAGAGGTGGAAAACCTAACTTGTTTTAGTTTTAGAAAAATATTTTTTTGAAACTTAACTCCCAAGATGGTTTAGGGAAAAAACATGTACCATTTGGGTTGCTTCCATTTCCCATGTTGGAATTAGTAATGCAATTTGCAGTGCCCGCGATGATTCTGTAGAGAAGTGAGCTGAGTCATCGGGGTGTGAATCATCTTCCCAGGATATTTTATGATTCTCCAAATGAAAAGCACCTCACATGTCAGATGTGATTAGTGAAATTCGTCTGTCCTGATGCCAGAGCGTGTTAACTGGTCTGAGCTGCTAGAGTTGATCCAGTACCATTTCACAAAATTAATATCGGGTTGTTCATACACATGGGGTATGAACAGAGAGCTCATCCAGATGCAGTGACCCCAGGAAAAAAGTCCACGCTAACCTTGCCTAAGCAAAAAAGGCACGTATTGGCTGCTGTAATTCAGGAGTCCAGGGTGTACCAGGCTTCAGGTCTGGGTGTGCATGACCTGGTCTCTCCCATCTCTCAATTCTGCCTCCTTCCCCTAACCTGGTCCTCATACTTTGGCTTCACTCCCCAGCTCATGGCTATACGGCCCCAGGCTTCCATCCCTCCAGATTCCATAACATCACAAAAGAGGGCTTCTCTTCCACAATAGCTCAGCCTTGTGTCCTGGCTTCCACTCCAAATGGACCCACCCAGATCGTGAATCCATCCTGAGAGCCATGTCTGGCCAGATCAGCCAGTCCTGGGCTCCCAACTCATCCTAAAGCTGGGGGTGGGGTCAACATCACCCACAAACCACTTGGACAGATTCTAGGGGAGGAGGGCTCCCCAGATGAAAATTGGGGTTGTATAGCTAGGAGGGGGAAGGAACTCTGACCTGCAGACACAGCAAATGTCCCTACATTCAAGTTCTTCTGTCTTCGCAGTCCGTCACCCTGCTCCTTCCAAACGGCCCTGCTCAAGCCACTCTGCCTCTTCCTGTTTCTTCTCCTCCTTCTCCTTCTCATCCTCATCCTCTTTCTCTTCCTCCTCCTCTTTGTCAGTGACACTTTTCCAGGGTTTACAAAAGACCAGGCAGCCTAGGCATGGTGGCTCATGCCTGTAATCCCAGCACTTCAGGAGGCCAAGGTGGGAGGATTGTTTGAGATCAGTAGTTTGAGACCAACCTGGGCAACATAGCAAGACCTCATCTCTACTAAAAATAAAAAAAAATTAGCCAGGTGTGGTAGTGTGTGCCTGTAGTCCCTAATCCCAGCTACTCAGGAGGCTGAGGCAGGAGGATCGCTTGAGCCTGAGAGTTTGACAATGCAGTGAACTATGATCATGCCACTGCCTTCCAGCCTGGCTGAAAGAGTGAGATTCTGTCTCTTAAAAACAAACAGAAACAAAAACCAAAACCCCACAAAAGAGCAAACAAAGGGCTTGGCAGTTGACTCTCACTGAATCCTCATGGCTACCATATGAAGTACTATAAGGCATTGGGTAGCTTGGGTTTCAGCCTCAGCCCTTCCCACTTTCTGAGGATGTGGCGTTGGGTGAGACACTTTCCCTATGTGAATCCCAGTTTCCGGTGTTAAATGGGGATGACGATGCTTTCTCTCCAGGGTTGTTGTGAGAGTCAATGAGCTTGTAAGCTCAGTAGCTCAGTAAGTGGGTACTCACATCATTCATTTATCAGATGAGGAAGCTGAGACTACTATGTCATTTGTCCGAGATCCTGCAGCCAGTGGGTAGCTGAACTGGGATGGAAACCCAGGGCGCTCATCCCAAGCTGCGTGCTTGCTCGTTTTGCAGCATTGCCTCTTCCATCCACCTTCCTGTAAGGAAACACTGTTTCTCATGGCAGACTCACCTCCGCAGACAGGGGTCAGCATCGAGGGTCATTGCACACGCACTTTGTTACATGTCTTCTGCATCAGGCCCTGAGCTAGATCCTGAGAGGACAAAGCAGAATGAGCATTCGGAGCATTCATTTGATGGGGGGGATCTGGGAGGCCTGAGGATGGAGGACTGACTTTCTGTGTCAGTCCTGAGTGACTCATGAGCCATGTCTGTAGAGAGAAACTGGAGCTCACCAGGCAGTGAAGAGGAAGGGCAAAGAAGCAGGCCACTTGCAGGGCTTAGGTAAAGCACAGGGGGCTGAAGAGCTGCTCCCTGATTGGAGTTTGGCCGTGGATTGAATTGTCTTTAGATTACTGACTATTGCTAATGATGGTTTGTATTGTCCTTGTTTCCAGTGTGGAATAGTTTATTGGCTATTTGGTGGTGCTATCAGGAATGTCGGAAGCCCTGAACATGTTACTAAGTGGTTTCAGCCTCTCCAGGTATGGTATATTCCTCAATATCAGTCTTCTATGGAGAGCCTTAAAAATCGGTAGTAGATAGATATGCATGTGTGTGTGTGTGTTTGAAGAAAAATAAAACAGAATTTGTGTCAGCAAAAATCTTGTTGAAAATGAGAATTCCGAGACTATCTTTTTTATGTTGCATTGAGCCTGTCAATGTTGTTAAGCTCACATTCGCTGTCATCAGACTGCATTTTTATAATTTTCTCCACAACACACCTGTCCCTCTCTCACCACCTTTCTTAACGGCCCAAGGGGTCTGCATTTGGAGCAGCTGCCTGACCAGCTAATTCCCTTCTAACATCTGGTAAACTCCAGAAGCAGAAATACACTGGGATGTTTGCAATGACCGAGAGGGGCCATCGAAGCAATGTGAGAGGGATCCAGACCGAAGCCACCGTTGACCTCTCTGCCCAGGTGAGGAATCTGTCCTTCTTCTGCCGTCCAGGGCAGCAGAAAACCTGGACAGAACCAGATCTTCTTTCTGTGTCCAGCTTCACACCCTCTGTGTGTGCTTTCTGGCCCCAGGAGCTGAGATTCAGATCAAATGTCTAAGTGTTTTAATAGAGGTGGATATTTGCTCAGCCTTCATGAACCCAACACAGCCAACATTTATATGGTGCCTTTGAGACTGAACACTGCCGCAAGCACTTGGTGTGCACTTGTGAATGTAATCCCTTGTCATAACTCCAAGAGAACAACACTAAAGCCATTTTGTTCTCGTTGCTAGCAGTAGCAGGAAAGGACTGGAGGAGATGCCTTTGTTGATCCTCTCCATTGTGCCCTGTGTCAGGAGGGCACTGTGCTGGGGCCACCTTATCAGGAGCTGAGTCTTCTGTACTGTGATCACGCGCTGTCTCTCACCGTGACCTGCATTGACATTTTACATGACAACAGAAACAAGAGTGTTACCAAACAATCTGACTCTTCTACCTTTACTATATGTGGTCAATGCTGAGGTTTTTCCTTTTCATTCTTTCTCTTCCTTTTCCTTTCGTTTTCTTCTCTATTTTTCTTCCTTTCCATTCCCTTCTTGCTAATTAAAAAGATGTTGGCTAAGTCTCTCTACATTGCTAGCTCTGTCCACAGTGGGTCACAACATACCCTGGGGACGCTGCTTTGTAACCCTCATTCCCATCTCTTTAACTCCTACACACACCCGCCCCTGCTCCCCACCAAAAAAGAAAGTGACTGTGTGCTTATCTCACTCTCCTTTATAGTTTCTTGCTTGATATTGGGTGTTCCTAAGAACTACAAAGGGATAAACAAATGTTGAGGTTCTTTCTAGAAATGAAGCTGTGTCAGTCGGTGTGTGCAAGCACGTGCCCGAGCGTGGCTGCGGGTGCCGCCTGGCCGTGTGGCTGCTCTGCTTCATCTCTTCTTTATTTTTGCAGTTTGTCCTTGAGCGTGTGGATTTTTGTTAGCGGGTTTCCTGACCCGGAAATGCTGGTTGGAGGTGGCCGGCGTCTGGAATGACAGATGCAGGGGTGGGGTATATTGGAGGATGCCCTGCTTTTCCTCCTGCCCGGATGTTAGTTCTCTCCAGCAGCCAGTGATGTCCAAGATCATAGTAAGAACGAGAATAAGCATTACCCTATGCTGACCACTCGCGAAGTGCCATGCTCTGTATCAAACTCCCTCTGTGTAGTTATTCTATGTTTCCTCCCAGCAACAGTTCCAGAAACGCAACATTAAACTGGTCCTGTAAACTGAGCACGGATGTGCCACGTACCAGGCTAAACAGTCTACTTGTAACATCATTTCAAATGTTCTGTAATCTTATAAAGAGGCATTATTGTCCCTACTTTAGAGACGGGGAAATGGAGGCTCATAGAGGTTAAGCAGCTGACTCTGGCTATGCAGTTAATGGTGAGTTAGGTTCCGCTGGGACTGCCCTCAGCAGCTTGGCTTTTCTGCCTGTGGTGGCGTGCCGACCTAACATCCTCTGGCTTTTGGCTGGCCGATTTTTTTCCTCTCCTGAAGCCATGGTATTGAGGTCACCTTGCTGTCATTGATGGGGGAAAACACCCACAGCTTTTATTTACTTGTTTCTTCTTACAATTATTACTTTTTTACAAAAATAATTTCCTGTGTTGGTCCCATTTTCCCCAAACAGCATAAATGACTTAGCTACCTGGCGTGCCTCAGCAGCTGCCACTGTCTGACAGGGGACCTGCAAAGTTGCAATCATAATGACAAGGGGCCTCTGGTGAACACCGTCTCCCGTGGGGCTGGGAGAGAGAACAATCCCATCATAAACTCATACCACCGAGAACTGACATAGCAGGAATGGATTTCTGCCTTCATTGGGTTCTGTGTTTTCCCCTTCATTTCCCTTTCAAAATGCTAGAGCTTGTTAAATAAGTGTTCTGTCCCCCAGGACCATTTAAATCTCTTACATGTTTTGGTTATTCATTCTTGTGGGTTGGTTGTTTTACATTTATTTTTGGGAGGTGGATTGGGTAGTGGTATGGATAGTTAAGAGATAAGAGAGAGAGTTTTGTTTTTATGCTTTATTCTAAATAGCAAAAATAAATGAGGTTATGAACTCTCTGGCCAAAGGCATCATTTTTAGTGCCTACAACACTAACCATTTTGCTGGCCTTCAACAGATAATTATTACAGAAACCGACACACATGGTGTGCGTTATTTAGATGCAGCTTTAACGCCAGGGTTTTGGCTGATGCAAACTTTCCAAATCAAGCATTTTGCCAGAAGTGACAAACCTCCTTTCCCAGAGCGTAGCAAATGTTTATGGGACGAGTGGCCTCCTTCTCCCTTCCCCATCCCACCAGATGGTTTCTGCCAGGCCAGTGTTTCCTCTGCCACTTCACTTTCTTACCCTGGGTGTAAGCATGCCCCCACCCACATGGGTTGTATTTTTATGCTGTTATTTTTCACTGCACTCAGCCTCAAGTAATGCCTTTCCTTGAGAAGCCCTGGCTGCCCTGATAAGACAAGGGTGGCCTCCAGAGACGTCTCTTAAAAAGATCCAGCATGTCCGTTTATGTTTCTGAAAAGCTCTCGCACATGTTAAAAGTTTCCCTGTGCAAACATCTGTCAGAGAATGTTTTCTTAGGCTTCAAGACTGTATTTCTTGGCCAGCGGGAAAGCGTTGTCTATGTACTTTATAGTCTGAAATCTGAGACAATCTTTGCATGATCAATAGCTTGTTGGTTTAGTTCAGTCACATCTTCAATATTGTCAACTCCAATTAAATGTGCAGTTCCACTCTCTGCCATTTCCCCTGGGCTCCCAACTTGCCCCAGGTGCCCTGTATTCAGAGCTGGCATCAGGGCCAGTTGCTTTTTGGCAAGAGGCTTAAAGGTAACCCAGGTGGCAACAGAGATTGGGGAGAGCCAAGAAGTGAGGGGAGCATTTCCATTGTGACCCTTATGTCAGCTTCCAGAGAGGAGGAAAGAGAAGACGGAGTTTTGAGTTGAGCCTGAGAACAAAACCCCTGCATTTTCTTCCTGTTTCTTCATGACCAGTGTTAGTTTCAGACTATTTTGAGCTGGAATCCTTGGACATATTCAGAGACAAACTGCATGGTACATTCTAAGATTTTTCCCTCCTAGGAAAGACTCTCATTTACAAGTTCTTCTGTTTTAGGCACTTGAACATATGAACCTCTTTTGGGAAACTTTAATTATTATATTCGTTGATCAGGAAAATAGACATTTTCAAAAGCTTAAATGAGGGATTTCTTTTTATAAAAATAAAAATTGTTTGGGCTGATACTGTAAGCAGCGGCGGGGATAGGTCGTGGCTGTCTATTGGTGTTGCTTTATCCAAGCATACAGTTTTGGCCTTCGATTACTTGGCTTTCATTTAAACAAAGACGTCATGGAGGCAGGAAGGTTCAGGGCCTGGGAAGCAGTGAGGGACCAAGTGATTTGCCCAGAAGGAGTGAACACCGGCAGATGAAATGCAACTCACAGATGTGGACCCTGGAACAAGCCATCTAAGGGCCCAGATCATTGGGTGCTGCATCCTGTCTTAGAAATCTTGCAGGTGGGCTGTTTGGAGGTGAGGGGTGTGGAGAGCTGAGCACGTACCACCAGGGCTTTTAGAGGTTTTGGTGTTGGATGATTGAAAGGTCAAAACTTTGCTATGGAGTAGTCTAGAGAGATAATTGAAGAAAGCCTTTATACATTAAAGCCAGACAGGCTCAGCCAAACAGCACACATGTCAGCCCGGCATTATAAACAGGAGAGACTGGGAGGGAGAGAACGAACACCTTTTAAAGATTGAAAATTGGCAACTTATTTTCTGGATTGGATTATTCCTTGAAAAATCACTTTAATCTCCAGCCATTTTCAAAGTTGAGGTGGAGGTGGAATAAGTGAATTGAGGTGATAGCACAGTCGTGTTGGTTTCAAGACATGGAGCCAGGTGACCTTCTGGTTGTCTTCTCTTCTGCTGTGACATCCCCTGGAAACGGCACCCTGCACCATGTGGGTCTGTTTGCACAGTATTCATTGCCTTGAGCCAGGGAACTGAAATGAGCCATGGGAAGGGAAACACTGTTGCTCTGCTGTTTCTGTGTAGGAGTTTGTAATTGACACACCGTGTGAAAATGCCGAGAAGATGTATATTGGAAATGCCATGTACAGGAATTACGCAGCCGTCTTTGCCCAGCTCATCGTAGATGGAAGATCTCAAGGTTTGTTACCAACACAGACAACTAGAATAATTCTCTTCATTAGTACTATTTACTGGTGAAAACCCATTTCACAGAGCTGCTTTTATCTTGTAAGTAATTCAGTACAAACTTTATCTCCTAATATGCATGAAGAAATTTATCATTACATTTTGACATTATATGCTCTCATGTGTGGTGCACAGATGTAGAACTGAGTGAGTCTGAGAATCACAGAAATGTTATACCATTCCAGGAAATAAGTAAAGCTATAGGAAGGAGAGCTTAATAATGATCTCGATGCCTTCCTTAGGGCCCCACTGTTTCATCGTTCTTGTCCGGGATGAAAATGGAAGCTTGTACCCAGGAGTGACAGCTATTGATAGGATGTACAAGGAGGGTGAGTCCCCAGGTGCCCTTCTCCTGTGCTTACTCTTCCCACCTGCTCCCCCTCCCACTCAAGGAGAATCTAACCTACCTTACATTACCGAAACAGTGAGGGTGGAGAAAACTTCCCCAGAGAAGATGTCCGGATTTTGAAGCCTCATGAAGTCTTTTATGTAGAACTGTTCAGGAATGTTGTAGATTGCCTTTTATGAACGTGCATTGGTCTCAGTTTCTCCCAGCTTCTCAAATTTTCCAGTAACGAGGCAGTTTTGTCCACAGTGCTATTCTGTCTTCTCTCATCTCAGACTTGGGGGCTCTCACGGGGCAGGCTGTGGCTCTCTTCTTTGCACCCCTGGCCACCTGCCTGCTGTCTGTGCTCATGAGGCCCTTAGTGAGTACTGAGGACTGACTCAGTGCCTTAGTTTTCTAGGGCTGCCATACCACTAACTGTGGGGCTTAAGCAATAGAAGTGTATTGTCTCACAGTTCTGGAGGCTGGAAGTCCAAGATGAAGGTATCAGCAGGGTTGGCTCCTTCTAAGAGTGGTGATGAGAGGTGAAGTCAGCTGGACTTCCTGGGTTGAGTGGGGATTTGGAGGACTTTTCTGTCTTACAAGAGGATTGTAAAATGCACCAATTAACACTCTGTAGCTAGGATTGTAAAACACACCAATCAGTGCTCTATGAAAACACAGCAATCAGTGCTCTGTAGCAAGAGGATTGTAAAATGCACCAATCAGTGCTCTTTAAAACGTACCAATCAGTGCTCTGTAAAATGCACCAATCAGCGCTCTCTAAAATGCACCAACCAGCAGCAATCTAAAAGTAGCCAATCCTGGGGAGGATTGATAAAAGAGCACTCTGATAGGACAGAAACAGAACATGGGAGGGGACAAATAAGGGAATAAAAGCTGACAACCCCAGTCAGCAGTGGCAAACCGCTCCACCCTGTGGAAGCTTTGTTCTTTGGCTGTTCACAATAAATCTTGCTGCTGCTCACTCTTTGGGTCCGTGCCACCTTTAAGAGCTGTAACACTCACCACGAAGGTCCACAGCTTCATTCTTGAAGTCAGCAAGACCATGAATCCACCAGCAGGAACCACCTCCAGACGCAGTGAGGGAAGGGTTTGTTCTAGAACTCTCTCTTTGGCTTGTAAACGGTTGTCTTCATGTTAACCTGGTGTACTCCCTGTGTGCATGCCTGTCTCCAAATTACCCCATCTTATAAAGGACAGAAGTCATTTAGATTACAGCCTACCCCAATGACCTCATTTTAATTTGATCACATCTGTAAAGACTCTATCTTCAAATAAGGTCACATACACAGGTATAAGGATTAGGGCTTCAATACATGAATTTTTCGGGGGGTAGGGGGACACAATTTAACCCATAACATTTGGTGAGATCAGGACATGCCTGTATGCTCCAGTGACCGCTCATGGCCAAGGTCATGCCAAGCCAAGAAAGGGGAGAGAAGGAAAAAAAAGAAGGAAGAGCAGTAAGAGAAGAAGGAAGAAGTGGCCCATCCTTTGGTGGAGGGGACAGTCTATCCTGGCCCCTTAGTGTTTACTGTCCACTGCCACGACTGCAGGCATGGCTGCAGGTGGGTTTGTGAGGTTTTAGATGTATCTCCCAGAGGTGACCGAGACCCTGGCTGGGCTGGGCTCCTTGAAAGTTCCTTGCATGTCAAATATTGCTGAGAGCAGAGGGGTAGGCTGAGTTCTGTGAAGTCGTGCCAGACGTTGAAAATGCTGGCAATGGCAGAGAGTCTGCTCTGGTGCCCTTGTAAGCTGCTAAACGCACGTGTGTCCTTGTCAAGGGGTGAAGCTCTGAATAAAGACGTTTACTAAAGACAGATTGTTTTCCCCTAGATTAAATCTCTCTAAGTTTTCACAGAGAGAAGACCCCAGACTCTGGCAGATATCTTTAGGAAATGTGTCTGCCAGATTTCAGGACCACCCCTCCCCGCTACCCGCTGCTTCCCCCATTTCCTGCTGTCCTTGTGGCTGTTTTCCCTTGTCTTGTGGGCATTTGCTGTCAACAGTTTGCTGTGTGTGCAGAGGAGAGAGCACTGGGAAGGAGGAGGGATTTGAGCGCTGCATTCCTAGGGAGAGCAAGCCTGCTTCCCTGCCTCTGTCTTCAGCTTCCCATTCTTGCGGTTGCTTGGAACGCTTCGTTTTTTTTTTTTTTTTTTTTGAGACGGAGTCTGGCTCTGTCGCCCAGGCTGGAGTGCAGTGGCCGGATCTCAGCTCACTGCAAGCTCCGCCTCCTGGGTTCACGCCATTCTCCTGCCTCAGCCTCCCGAGTAGCTGGGACTACAGGCGCCCGCCACCTCGCCCAGCTAGTGTTTTGTATTTTTTAGTAGAGAAGGGGTTGCACTGTATTAGCCAGGATGGTCTCGATCTCCTGACCTCGTGATCCGCCCGTCTCGGCCTCCCAAAGTGCTGGGATTACAGGCTTGAGCCACCGCGCCCGGCCAGAACTCTCCCTTTCTTAATCACAGTCACTGCTCGGGAGGTAGGTGTGCATCCACTGCATGCCCAAAGCGTGCAGGCTGCACAGAAGGAAAGCCCATTCTCCTCCATTCTCGCTAGGGAGGAAGGGGCCAGGCTGGTGGAAGAAACAGGTACAGCTCATCAAGGAAACAGCAGACAGCATCCCCATGTCCATCCCAAAGGAAAAAGCACCAGCAGTTCTGGAAGTAAAATAAGGGGCTTTGTATTTTAGTGGCAACAGGCCTGGGAAGTAGCAGGGAAAATACTTCTGATGCTGCATCCATTCCCCCTTTCTGTTCTTGCCAGGTCTGCATGGTGTGGATGGTAATATTTGACAAGGTTCGGATACCCAGGGAGAACCCGCTGGATAAGTGAGTAGTTTCTCCTTTACTCAGGTCAATGGTGCAGATGACCTCACTGCTCTCCAAAGTTGGCTTGGTTCTTGGGTCTCGTGGGCTGTGTATCTGGGCAGTCTACCCCTAACTACCCCTACAGGTTTGTTGACAACTAATTGGAAAAGATACATCTGCAGATAGAAAAAAAAATGTAAAATTATTCAACATGCTGTTGTCCAGACGTAATGACCATTACACTTCAAATGTACGTCTTTCCAGGCTTTTCTCTATGCCCATATGTCTAAAGAGAGAAAGGTGTCAGATTTTTACTAAACGAGATCCACTTCTAGATTCTGTGTTTAAAATAACCTGTACTTTCCATTTAACATTATATAGCAAATGCTTTTATGTAATGCTAAGCACACACATGCATTATCATCTTTAATATCATTATAATAGACTGTTAAATAAATGGTTTATAAGTTATATAATCAATTTCTTATTGTTGGACATTTAGATTTTTTCCTCCCCTCCCCCCATTATAAACAGATGGGTGCTATTGCTTCCTTTGTGAGTGGCAGGGGATAAGGCACCATCTTTCAGCTTGCAGGTGTGTTCTGGGGGTGGAGCTCTAGGGGTTAATGATGCTTTTCACAGAAGCTGAGAAACACCAACTACTTTTAATTTTCTCAGCAGCGTTTCATGCATCCAATAAAAATCTTGAGCCATAGTCATGTTAAATCTGTGACGAAGCCAGCAATCAGGGTGCACACAACCAGCTGTCTTCCTGACTCCCCATGGATTTCCCTTGAATGCTTTGCTCCTTTTTGTTGCCAGCAGATACGTGTAGTGGATGCCAAAAGCTTAAGAAAATTGTATGGGAAAAAAACTTAAAAATGATTGGTCCAACAAACCCCCATGACATAAGTTTACCTATGTAACAAACCAGTACTTGTACCCCTGAACTTAAAATAAAAGTTAAACAAATGGAAGGATAAGGAAGTAGAGGATAGAATAGTGGTTACCAGGGGCTGGGAAAGGTAGGGAGGAGGAGGGGATGGGGAGAAGTTGGTCAATGGATACTGTTAGAGTTGGATTGAAGAAATAAGTTCTGGTGTGATATTGTACAGGGTGATATCGTTAACAATAATGTGTTGTATATTTCAAAATAGTTACAAGTTTTAAATGTCCTCATTCCAAAAAATTGATAAATGCTTCAGAGGATGAATATGCCAATTACCCTGATTTTATTATTATGCAATATATACATGTATCATAACATCACACTGTATTCCATCAATGTATGCAGTTATTATATGTCAATTCACGAAATAAAGCAACAAGAAAAAGAAAAAAATCTTAAAGTGGACCAAATTCTGCTTAACATTTTCCTCCTGTGAATTGATAGGAAATAAAATGGAAGCAATAAAAGCATCTTCACAGTTATCCTGGTGGGTGCTAAAGTCCCCCAGGCCCTTTTAGGACCACCAGCATTCATATGGAAATGCGAGAAACTCAGGATAGCTAAAACAATCTTGATAAAGAAGAACAAAGTAGGAGGACTCACACCTGTGATTTGAAAACTTACTATAAAGTAATCAAGACAGTGTGATATTTGCATAAGGATAGATATATGTACAATGGAATAGAATGAAGAGTCTGGAAATAAATCCCTACAGTTGCAGTCAATTAATATTCCACTGCAGAGCCAAGACAATTCAATGGGGGAAAGAATAGTCTTTTTGACAAATGGTGCTGGGACAAACTAGGTAGCCACGTGCAAAAGCATGAAGTTGGACCTTTACTTCCTACCATATACAAAAATCAACTCAAAATGGATCGCAGACCTAAATGTAAGAGCTAAAACTACACAACGCTTAGAAGAAAACACAGGTGTGAATTTTTGTGACCTGGGTTTAAGCAATCTATTACACATGGCACCAAAAGCACAACTAACCAAAGAAAAAATAGATAAATTGGACTTCATCAAAGCTGTAAAAAACTTTTTTTTGAATCGAAGAACACTATGAATAAAGTGAAAACCTACAGAGTGGGAGAAAATATTTGTAAATCATATATATTAGTATCACAAGGGTATAGTATCCAGAATATAGAAAGAACTATTACAACTCAAGAATAAAAAGACAAATAACCCAATTTTAAAATGAGCAAAAATCTGAATAGACATTTCGCTAAAGATTTACAAATGGCTGCTAAGCATATGAAAAGATGCTCCACATCACTGCCATTAGGAAGATCCGAATCAAAACCACCGCGAATACCACTCTGCACCTACCTCCCAAAGTGCTAGGATTACAGGCACAAGCCACCATGCCCAGCTGATGTCTCTTATTAAAGGGACAGACAATAACAAGCGTTGGGGAGGATGTAGAGAAATTAGGACTGTTTGTTATACATTGCTGGTAGGGCTGCAAAATGGTGGCACCAACTAGGAAAACAGTTTGGCCATTCCTGAAAACTGTAAAGTTATCATCTTATGACCAGCAATTCTACTCCTAGGTATGTGTGAAAACATTGTCCACAAGAGAATTGCAAACATATATCCACACCAGAAATTATACACAAATGTCAGTAGCATAATTATTCACAATAGCAAAAATGGGAAAATAATCCAAATATCCATCAACTGAGGAAATAGGAAATAAAATGTGGTATATCCATACAATGGAATACTATACAACCATGAAAAGAAATGAAGTACTGACATGCTACAACACAGATGAACCCTGAAAACATGTGAGTGAGAGAAGCCAGACATGAAGACCACATATGATATGATTCCATCTATGTGAATTTTTTCCCAGCACAGGCACCATAGAGAGAGAAAGTAGGTGAATGGTTACCAGGGGCTGGAGGGAGGGGAGTATGGGGAGGGACTGCTAGTGGCGTGGGGTTTCTTTTTGGCGTGGTGAGATGATTTGGAATAGGATCATGGTGATGGTTGTACAATTTCATGGCTATACTCAAATCCATCGAATTGTACACTTTGAAGGGATACATTTTATGGTATGTGAATTACATCTCAGTTTTTAAAAAGTGGGTCAGTGCGCGGTCTGCACAGTCAGGCTCCGGTGCTGGTTTAATGTCTCAGGAAACCACTACCTCCCTTGAGTCAAGCCTTTCTCAGCATCTCTTGGAGAGGGACTCCCCCTGCCCTTATCTGCTCTCTGTCTCAAGGGGGAAGTTCCACGATGGGGAAATCCGAGTGCTTCCCTGCGTGTGCACATGGGAGCCACCTGACGTCATTTCTGGTGGTGCTATGTCCTGTTTTTTTGTGAAACCCCCCCTCTCTTTTCCACAGGTTTGGTTCCGTGGCTCCAGACAGACAGTACCATTCCCCTACGAGGAACAAGAGCGCAAGATTCAGTGCCATGCTGGCAGCACTGATCCCTTCGAGATTAGCTGTGGCTTTCCAAGCTATGGGTGCCATGAAGGTAGTGGACTCTGATTTTAATTTATCTACTGTGAATTCTCTCGCGGCTCAGGGATGAGTAACAATTTCAGGAGCTGAGCTTCTCGAGCCACAGTTGGTATAATATGGCCAGGGTTCCCGGTTAGATGCTGGGGAGTGCCAGGTGGCCATCCACAGGGAACATTTCTACACCCTTCTTAAGAGGGGATCCCGCCCATCTACATCCCAGATGTGTGCTGCTCACCCTGGGGGTGGAGCACAGGCATCGTGGTAATAGAGCCAGGAGAGATGACCAGGGAGAACGGGATGTTCAGAGCAAACACATCTGCTGGAGAAGCAGCTAAGGGTTGGTCCATGTGTGCAAAGGTTGGTGTGTCTTGGCTGAATTCATCCGGGAGTGTTGATCCTCATGTGTCTATAGAGGGCGTAACGTTCTCCCATCACAGTCTGGAGGCCATGAGGCCAGACCTCCAGGAGCCATCTCTGCCTCCCTGCCCTGACTCTCCCGTATATTGGTTTGGACAGAGGAGCCTGGAGAGCAAAGCTCTGGAAGGGCCTCCTTCTCCTCCCCAGGGCCTCAGGCTACTTTGTTCTCTGGGCCTTCTCTGTCTCTTTGCATGAAGGAAAAGCCTGCTTTAAGCTCCACTGAGCTTGGTGAAGCTGGAAGAAAAATTAAGTCTCCCCAGGAATATACATCTGGGGCTTGAGTCCAACTTTTCCATCAAGAAGGAATAAATTTCATTCACTTGACTACAGGCCTGACATCAGCCCGGAGTCGTCTGAATAGCAGGAAAGCCCTTTACTTGCTTCGGTGTCGGCCACACTTCACAGATGGCCTGCCCTGACCCAGGCTTCCCCTTACGGTGCTTCCTGTGAGGGGCACAGCTGTGGCCATCAGCATGCGTACTCAGCCTGGCCTCGCGCCCGCCCGTGCACCCCAGTTCCTGTGCTTGTTTTGTGGTGGTTCTTTCAGTGGGGCCAGGTGGGTGTTCAGGTCTGAAGTCCCATGTCAGGAGGGGCTCAGGACCCTTGGCTGAACCGTCTGAAATTGAATGGGGCCCCAGAGAGCCTTGCAAAGGCGTCAGCACAGACAGCAGCAGAGTGCGGAGGAAAACTGGTTCCTCAGGTCTGCAGTCGAAGCCATTTCAGCCATCCTCAGGACTCCAGAGAGAGGCAAAAATAGAAAAGCCAGACGAGCCTAGGATTGCGTGGAAGGGAAGATTGGTTAAACATCAGATGCAGGGTTAGCTGAAGCCGTGATAGCAGTCTCTGCACAATATCCCCTCTAATTGCAGTAGCCTGCAGACCGTCCTGACTCAGGGGCGTGTGAGGAGAGTGCTGGGTGCATATAAAAAACTCATGGTGGACAGTGGCCAGGCAGGCTGCTGGGAAACCCCGCTCTTGTTGGTTTTGATGGGGTGATGATGTGTGAAGGACGTCCACGCCGCCAGCAGCCCTGTAGGCTCATTGAGGTCCACAGTGGGGTTGCGTGGGACAAGGCGTGGGGTGGTGCAGACCAGACCAGGCGGAGGTGGGAGCCTCCAGGAGGGCTTTGGTTTTAAATACCACCAGATCTAGAGCAGGGTGGGGGTGGTGTCTCAGGGAGAGGAGCCAGAGTGAGTGATTCCTAAAAGGTTCATGTTCTCCTTTCTACTGGATATTATCATGGGCCAGCCCCTGCCAGGCCCAGGAGGGTCTTGGGGGCCACATTCGCATCAGTTCCCTTATTGGTTGTCTGATGTGCAGACTTCATTCCTGGCAACACAGAGACGCGATCATGATCACGGGCAGGAAAGCCCTGGGCTCAAGTCTCACCCTGCCCATGACCAGCAGTGGGGCTGTGAACAGGCCATAGCACTCCCTAGGGCTCAATTTCTTCATCTGTAAAATGGGTCTTAGGATGGTGGTGAGGCGTGAGAGAAGGGTGTGTGTGCAGCGCTGGCCCAGTGCAATGCTCCATAGCTCGCGGCTGCTATTTGTGGGATGGTTGTTGTTGTTGTTGCTGCTGCTGCTGCTGTTACTGGGAGGACAGGAGTTGGCTAAAGGAAAGGAAGACATGGGCATTCTCATGAAACAAATCCCTGGTATCGTGGCCTCCAAGTAACAAGGCAATGTGCAGTGTTTTGCAGAAATGCATAGCATCCTTTGAATTCCCGGGTGTCTGAAGCAAACCTTAGTAACCCGGAATTAGTATCTGCCCTGCCCATCCAGACCTTGCCAGGCGATGGGATTGTCAGGCAGTGGGCAGACCCTGCACAGAGCCGAGCAGGGCTCAGACCCCGTGTGGTCCAGGCACCCTGCCGGACGGCGACCCGGGCCGCTGTGATCTCATCTCCAGCGTCTCTGGCGAGGATGATCTCACCGGCCCTCTTGGCAGCTCCTCCTCCCCTATGGCTCAAACACATGACATATGTTTTCCCGGCTGAAACCTAAGATGGTCCTTCTCCTTCTGCTCTTGCTGATGAGTGGAAAAATGGATCCGTTTCTCCTACGTGCGTTCCTTGTGTATTAGAAAACTGTCACCGCAGCTCCCCACAGTGACATTCACTCAAGGCTGAGCGTGCCCGGTCATTTTGAACTTTGCCCAAATGTCGTATTTTTTCATGGTTCTCTTTCATTTCCATGGCATTCCTCAGAACTTTCAGGTTTTCTCTTAAAGCCTTGCCGTATTAACCATCATCTAATTTGTGTCAGAAATGCCTGGGTAAATTCAATGATTACCAAGAACACAAGGAAAAGGAAGCGAATGTGTTTGGGAGGGGAGGGAGTGGGGGCTTGGGAGCCTGTGCCGGGATGCTGGGAAGCCTTTTCAGAAGGAGGAGGAAGCTGGGGCACCTGAAAGAGTGAGCAATGTAAATGAGGTCTGGCCCACTTCTCTTGATTTTGCATGGAGGTAAATATTTTAGCTAAGACAAGCTCCTCTTGTAAATTTGGTGCTGCACAGTAGCTGGTTCCCACCCCCAGGATGTGTGATTCCGCAGCGCTGGGGTAGGGTGGAGAATCTGCATTTCTGGGTTCCCGGGTGACACTGCTGCTGTGGGCTCTGCCACTTGAGACCCCTGCACAGAACACATGGATGTGGTTGTGAAATATCAGCACTGTCTCAGCCTGCTTGTCACCCTCTGGGTCCCCAGGATCAAGGCCCAAGTTCTGTTCCTGTATCCAGGATCCTTCATGACCCCTCACTGTACCGCCCATCTCCATTGGCCTCTGTCGCTCTGGCCTCATTTCTGTCTCTCCCCTGTGCCTCTGCGGGAGGGGATTAACCCATGCCGCCGTCCTGCTGGAGATGCCCTCCTTTTGCATGGGTAATTTTCATGTACATTTCAGAGCTTGTATGACTGTCCCCTCTTTGGAAAGGCCTCAGCCTGCGTGTGGTTCCTCTGTCACCTGTTCCCAAGGCACTGGACTCCCCACTTGCAGCATGTATTACAACTGATGAGTGTAACAACTCATGTGCAATAGATGAGCTGGGTCTCCTTCACTAGCCTAAAAGCTCCACGCAGCCGGGGTCCTGCCAGCCTCATCCGCTGCTCTGTGCTCAGCTTCACACACAGGGCTGGGCACACAGTAGACACACAGCAAATAGGAGTGGAAAGAGTGAATGAGGTCTGAATCAGGATTCACATCCGAAGCCCCTGGCGTAGCTCTTAGCAGAGGGAAGCCCTCAGTGCCTGTTGGTTCTTGTGCTCCCACATACCAATCCCCACTTCCGGGTCCACATTGAGTGGGGAGGAGGATGTTGCTGCCTCTTTGATCTAACTCCACGTGGCCCTTCTGTCCAGAATCAGGAATCTTCTTTCTTTCTTCCTCTCTGCCCCAGACACTGCTCCCCATAGTATGTGCCTCACGTGTACGCACTCGTGCATTGTGCTGCAATCAGGTACTGGGGTTGTGCTCACCTACACTTGGCAGTGTGGCCCTGGTGGTCTGGGAGTGTGCCCAGGGCTGGGGCTGCAGAGTCCGCATGCTGAGTGCAGCCAGCATTCTGGGCTGTCTTTTCAGGCACGTGGGTGCTGGGCGACAGACAACTCAGCCAGTCCTCGGGACCTGAACGACCATCTCCAAGTGGTACAGGTGCTGCATGTGAGATAGGGGTAGCTTTTCCCAGCTCCAGGAGCTTCAGGGAGAGCAAAGGGAAGACACTGGCTTTAGAGGATTCTCAGAACCGGCGATAGACACAATCTTTTCCTACAGTGTGCGTTGTTGGGTGTAAGTGAAGAGTCTCAGCAAGGCATGGGGGAGTCTCTCCCTCCTGTTGATGGGGGTTTGAAATGGGATATTGCATCCTCGAGTAACCCTTTTGTGACCTTCTGACTGCAAGGGTTCATGGAAGATTTGAGCAATGGAGAGGAGGTTGAGGGCGTCTGAGTCCCCTTGAGAGCCAGCAGGGGTTGGTCAATGGCCAGCGTGGACCCTTCTCACTGCGCAGGGAGTGGTGGTATGGCTCTGTGGGCCTGTGCTGCGTTAGGTGAGCACAGCAGGCTGCATGCGGCCACTGCTGTGGGGTCTTGCTTGGGATTGCCCCATCACCCAAGCTCTGACACAGCTCCAGAGAGGTCCTGATGTCGATGTCCTCACCGCGGTGTCTGGCTCCTGGTCATCCGGCTCTCCACCACTCTGCCTGTGTGCTTCAGCTACTGGCTGGGGCTGGGGCAGATTAGCAGGTGTCAGAGTGTGACATTCTATCTGTCCTAATGGCCACAAACCAGGTGCCATGACACTTCCTCCTGAGCAGAAGGTTACTCAACCTCCTCACATCAATCATCTCAATGTTTGTGGCTATTGCCGTAACATGATCAGGCTTTTGTCTGTTTTCTTTTTGCTTGGGGATCACCTACTTTTATTTTCTTCTGGAATCACTTTGTGTTCATCTGTTCTTGTCATAGGTTGATCTCATTTTGTATCATTACTAACACAACCTTTAGTGGGCAGGGATTGTTTTCTTATTTAGTCTCTGCAAGGCCTAGTAGAGCCCTACATGTCATGGAAATCATTTTACTCTTCTAACCGTGCTTCCATCTATTGCCTGTTCATTCACCCACCTGTTCATCCACCTGTCCGTCTGTGTCCATCCACCTCTCCACCCACTCACCCGTTCACCCACCACCCATCCATCTACCCATCCATCATCTATTCATCACTCATCCATCATCTATTCATCCATCCATCATTCATCATCCATGCATCATTCATCATCTATTCCTCCATCCATCGTCCACCCATCCATCATCCATCCATCCAACCATCATCATTTTTCCATCCAATAATCCATTCATCCCACCCATCCCACTACAAAGACGCCGAGCACAAGAGTGATCAGCTCATGTATAATTTAGTAGTTGAGGCGGAGTGTATTAGTCCATTCTTACACTGCTAATAAAGACATACCTGACACTGGTTAATTTATAAAGAAAAGATGTTTAATTGACTCAAAGTTCAGCATGGCTGGGGAGGCCTTAGGAAACTTACAGTCACGGCAGAAGGGGAAGCAAACACGTCCTTCTCCACATGGCAGCAGCAAGGAGAAGTGCTGAGCAAAAGGGGGAAAAGCCCCCTTATAAAACCATCAGATTTCATGTGACTCACTCACCATCACAAGAACAAGATGGGGGAAACTGCCCCCCTGGTTCAGTTAGCTCCCACCAGGTCCCTCCCATGACATGTGCGGATTATGGGAACTACGATTCAAGATGAGATTTGGGTGGGAACACAGCCGAAGCATACCAGGGAGTTATGGAATAATGTCCTAGAGAAAACCATTCGCCTACCTGATGGACACCACACTTGACAGAAACTCCCCAGGCAGGAGTGTGCAAAGAAAGGACAGAGGCATTCGCCATCCTCAGAGCCTGCCCTTCCTTGAGCAGCAAAGGGCAGAGTAAGGAGTATCTCCGTAAGGTCTTGCACGGGGGGCTCAGTGTGGGGACTGAGTTGAATGGG